GTCTGAGCTCATCTCCCCAGGCTGCAATGGGAGTGAACTGCAGGCCTGCCTCCTCACTCCACTCAGCTGTAGTAACACAGAGACGCCCATGTGCTGACTCAGAAGCAGGAAGAGGAGGAGAGCAGGAACCTTCTGTTGGAACTGGAGGAGGCAGCAGGTTTCCAAAGACAGGCTGGGTGGGGCCGACCTCCCAGGCTTTTGAGGGAACGTAACTCCACCCACTAGTCAAACACTTTCCAAAGGGAGGTGGCCTGTCCTCCCAGGTCAGATGAGCTGTTCCTTGTTCCTTGCAGAAGGATGAGTTCAGATACTGAGATAAAGGTGAAAGCTTCCTTTTAACACTTCCCTGGGGTGGGGGGGAGGATAAAAAAATTAATTAGAAAAAATTTTTTAAGTTTCTCGAGTCAGATCGATATAAATGGTACAAAGCTGGCTAGTTAGGTCTGTGAATATCTCAGTGACTAAGATGCCTACAGGAGGTATTAAACTTCAGGACAATCCACAAAGATAAATCAGAATGTGTCTTTTAGGCATTGTAATACATAGTTTTCTTGTGCTTTGTAGAAAAACTTTGTTTTTCTTTACTAACTTTTAAATAAGACAGTTGCCGTTTGGGACATAACTAGCATGCCGAAGTCAGTTACTAGAATGTATAACTCAGCTACTAAATTAGTCCTTGCAATCCTAGTTGAAGTTATGCAGGGTTTTATTGGACATGGCTTTATATGACTAGTTAACATCAATGTGGTTTAGTCCTCGCTGTACTATCTTACTGAATGACCTTTGTCAGGTCAACCGGACACTCTGAAATCTCAGTTTCTCTGGATGAAAAATGGGGATAATTATACCTGTCTTAACCTGCTTCATCAGATTGCTTTTGAAAGCAATAAGAAATGTGTAAAAAATTTGTGTATTATACATACATATAATATATAATTATTGTAAAGTCTATTAGGACTAGGAAGGAAGAAGAAAAGGATTTAACATTTATTGAAGTCCAGCTAAGTACCCAGTAGCCCGTTTGAGTGGCTTATGTATGTTGTTTTACTTACGCTACACAACTCTATGAAATAGGTGTTATTATCCACAAGTGAGACAATGAAATTTGTAGAGGTTCAAGTTGCCCTCTCAAGCAAGAGCAGAAAGTTATGAACCCTAAACCCAAACCCTGGTCTATCTGATTCCAAGTCTCCAGTATGTGAGGTCCCTTTCATGTATTAGACATGGTGCTATGCATATCAACTTAGGTATAAGAGAAAGTGAAATTTTTCTTTTAAATATCACGGTATGGCTTTGCCAAATAGTAAAAGAAATGAAATAGATACTGAAATAAGGTCTTAAAATAAATTTTACAAATAGCCTAGTTCAGTTATGAAAATGTCAAGAGATGGCAGTCTTTTAAATTTGGTTTACTTCAGTTTGGTAGCAGATTAATTATTCCAGATTCACTATCGTTAAGTTTCTCCCTCCAGCCATACCATATAGAACATGGTCTTTTCTAAATTGCCTGTTATTTCTCTTTCTCTCTCTCTTTCGTTTTAGGTGCTTTTAAGCCCTGTGAGTATTTACTGGGAAGTTGGATGATCCGTCTTACCGTGTGGTTCATTTTCCTGGTGGCGTTGTTTTTCAACCTGCTCGTCATTTTCACAACATTTGCATCGTGCACATCCCTGTCTTCCTCCAAACTGTTCATAGGCCTCATATCTGTGTCTAACCTATTCATGGGAGCCTATACGGGCATCTTAACTTTTCTGGATGCCGTGTCCTGGGGCCGATTTGCAGAATTTGGTATTTGGTGGGAGATCGGCAGCGGCTGCAAAATAGCCGGGTTTCTTGCCGTTTTCTCCTCAGAAAGTGCCATATTTTTATTAATGTTAGCAGCAGTCGAAAGAAGCTTATCTGCGAAAGATATGATGAAAAATGGGAAGAGCCGCCACCTCAGGCAGTTCCGGGTGGCTGCGCTCTTTGCCTTCCTGGGCGCCGCGGTGGCAGGCTGTTTCCCCCTCCTCCATGGCGGGGAGTATTCGGCCTCCCCCCTGTGCTTGCCTTTTCCCACGGGAGAGACGCCATCCTTAGGCTTCACCGTCACCTTAGTGCTGTTAAACTCGCTGGCATTCTTATTAATGGCCATTATCTACACTAAACTCTACTGCAACCTGGAGAAAGAAGACCTGTCCGAGAACTCCCACTCCAGCACGATTAAGCACGTTGCCTGGCTCATCTTCACCAACTGCATCTTCTTCTGCCCGGTCGCGTTTTTCTCCTTTGCGCCCCTGATCACGGCCATCTCCATCAGCCCCGAAATAATGAAGTCTGTTACTCTGATATTTTTCCCACTGCCTGCCTGCCTGAATCCAGTCCTGTATGTTTTCTTCAACCCAAAGTTTAAAGAAGACTGGAAGTTACTGAAGCGACACATGGCCAGGAAAAGCGGGTCCGTGTCCATCTCCATCGGCAGCCAAGCCGGCTGCGTGGAGCAGGACTTCTACTACGACTGCGGCATGTACTCGCACTTGCAGGGTCACCTGACCGTGTGTGACTGCTGCGAGTCCTTTCTCCTGACAAAGCCCGCGTCCTGCAAACACTTAATAAAATCGCACAGCTGTCCCGCCTTGGCAGTGGGTTCTTGCCAAAGACCGGACGGCTACTGGTCCGACTGCGGCACGCAGTCCGCCCACTCCGACTATGCGGATGAAGAAGATTCCTTTGTCTCGGACAGTTCGGACCAGGTGCAGGCCTGTGGGCGAGCCTGCTTCTACCAGAGTCGAGGGTTCCCCTTGGTGCGCTATGCCTACAATCTACCAAGGGTTAAAGACTGAATCGATGTCTTTTGACTGTTTCCCCCATGAACCGAAACCACAGTGTTGATAGCATGAAGCTTAGTCTGACCCTCCATCTGAGAAGCACCTCTGTGATCACTGCCTGGTGTCACTTAGAAGAGGAAGGTGGCAGTTTGTTTCTTAAACCAGACCTTTTCAAAGAACAAGTGCCTAAACTATCAAGTGATGAAAAACACAGTGTCCAAGCAATGGGTAGTCTATTTGAAACAAATTTATAACTTGAAAAAGATTTTATGTATATCACGGCAATATAACGTTAGGTTTTTCTGATCCATAAGAAGCAAATTTATACCTATTTCTGAATTAAGCATGATAAAGAACAGCTGTTAATATTTTTTTAAGAATATTTTAAATGGTGATTTTTGCATAACTGAAGAAAAAGTCTTGCTAATTTTACCTAATGTTTCATCATTAATCTCAGGACAACTTACTGCAGGGCCAAAAAAAGGGATTGTCTCCCAGGTAAGACTCTGAAAGTGTATGTAGGCATTACCTTCTTGCATTTCCTATTTCCATCTTTGGCATAATAGAATCATCAAGTTTAAGGGATTTATAACACCTAAAACCTGAAGATGTTTTTAAAACAATATTAACAACTGTTAAGATTTTTAAAAGAGTAGACGAATACATTTGTTTTCAGTCATTATACATTGCTTTGTTTTGATCACAGTAATTTTTTCTTCAGTGTTTTGTGATCATACTACCAGGAAAAAGTAAAGGGCTAATTGCTTGGGTGGGTTTAGTAGATTTGGCGAAACTACTAACGTGGGATTTTAATAGCATCAGAGGGATTTGATCGTGTAATGTTCTCATTGATAAAACACTTCCTAGTATCATTGGCTCTACCAGTACCTTCCAGTTTTGTTCGTACGTTAGCTACCTATAGATTGAATTATACTGAAAGTAAACTGTGGCAAATGGTTTCATTCAGTTGGAAGAAATTGGGAGTCCTTAGGACACAAAGCACTTACACTGATTTCTTAGCGAGCTGGATTCTCCTGAACCTAAGCTATGGCGTGGAAGCTTCCATACTTTTTTCCACTGACTGTGATTTACAAGAGCCTGTGCAACAGCTCGGAAACTGTGTTCTTGTGAGACAAAATAGATACGTCACTAAGAAAAGAAAAAGGAACAAAATTTGGGCCTTTGTTTTTAAAAATTAAAAATTCTTACTTGATTCTCATCTATGGACTTTTGACATGTCATGACGTGGAGTCTTAAAGTTATAAATGTTCAGTATGTTTTTTTGAACAACATGCTAAATCAGTAGCAAACCCACTGCCATATTAGTTATTCAGGATGTACTAAAAACCATTAAGCTAGATTGCAGTTTAATAATTAAACTGTATATAATGTGCATATAATGAATTTTTATCTTATGTAAATTATTTTTAGAACACAAGTTGGGAAATGTGGCTTCTGTTCATTTCGTTTAATTAAAGCTACCTCCGAAACGATAGTGGCTGCCAGTAGCAGAATGTTAAATTGTGGTTTATATACTTTTTTGCATTGTAAATAGTCTTGGTTTGTACATTGTCAGTGTAATAAAAACAGAATCTTTGTATATCAAAATCATGTAGTTTGTATAAAATGTGGGAAGGATTTATTTACAGTGTGTTGTAATTTTGTAAGGCCAACTATTCACAAGTTTTTTAAATTGCTACCATGTTTGTATATTTACACATCTGATAAATATTAAATCATAACTTGGTAAAAAAAAAATCTAGCTAAAAGTTTTTTTTCCAAAAGTCATGTTACTGAAAACTTTCATTGCATTCATTTAAAAAATAGAATAGCAGATATCTAAAATATGTGGTAAACTGTGCTATGCATATGGTAGGAAATACAATATTGTATGCAGTGTCTTGAATTATTAAAGTTTCTGGAAAGCAATCTATTTGCCTTAATTTATAACTAGGTATATTAATGAATTTGCTTAGTGTTTAAGTAAGTAAATTAAAGTGTTTTTAACAGTATTAGAAGAAATGTTGGGAGAACACTTTGCTGAAATTTAGAAGTGAGGTTGTTTTCTATATTAAGTCTGAACCATACTCATGGAAAACAAATTGTGAAATTTAAGATAATACCATCAATTAGATCTTATTCAAAAGCAAATGATTAAAAAACTGGCATGATTCCAAAGGCAGTCTATTGCCCGAATGCAGTAGTCCTCCCTTTCTTCCCTTATCTGAGGTTTCACTTTCCATGGTCTTAGTTACCCATGGTCAGCCGCAGTCTGAAAATACTGAAGGGAAAATTCTGTAAATAAACAACTCATTAAGTTTTAAATTGCACACCCTTTGAGTATTGTGATGAAACCTTTCGCTGTTCTACTCCAAAATGACTCATCCTTTTGTGTAGTGTATCCTGCCTGTTAGTCACGTAGTAGCTGTCTGTGACTCTCTACTTCAGTGCTTGTGTTCAAGTAACCCTTATTTTACTTAATAAAGGCCCCAAAGCGTGAGAATGAATAATGATGCTGGCAATTCGGATATCCCCTTACTGTGCCTAATTTATAAATTAAACTGTATAGGAAGAAAACGTTATACATAGGATTCAGTACTGTCTGCAGTTTCCGCTGGGGGTCTTGGAACATAACCCCCATGGATAAGAATATACTACTGTGCTTACAAGTAACTCAATATTCACAGTCATCAAGCCTTCATTTTACAGATGGGAAAACAGAGGGCCTAATGAATTTTAAGTCAATACCTGGCACACGAAGCAAATTAGAACTCAAACCAGCACCCAGTTCCTCTCAATTTGAGACATTTTTTTGTTTTTGTTTGTTTAAAACTTCAGTGTATTTCTGGAATTCCCATCACAAAAAGCAGAATAGTACAATCACCTGTCCTCCCATCCCTTCGGCCCTCCCTGCTCAAATCCATCATCCAACTTTGGCAGTGCTCAACAACACATGGCAAATCTTGTTTCATCTTCATCCCATTCACTGACCCTCTCTGATCCCTCTGCTCCTTGGATTATTTTGAAGCAAATCTAAGACATGTTTCAGCTGAAAATATTTCAATATGTCTAGGGATAAATTGTTTTTAAGTTGTAAAGTATACCGCTGTAGGACTCACTGGTAATGGTGTTATTTTTGTAACCAAGTCAGAGATTTTCAAGCAAAGGTCACTCTTCGCTTACACAAGGTTACAAAGCCAGCCAAAAATATAAATTATTCCAAATAGACCATAAAAGTGAAAATAAATGAGTAGTAAGAAGAGAAGTTACGAAGTTAATACCCTGAAGCTTAAGGGGAGAGGCCCTCTTTTGAGCCTATTTACACGTTTTAGATAATTCTACCAAACTTGATTATGGTTTCTTAGTCCCAGTAATGAAAAGGCACTGGAAAAAAGACGACCACAGGACTTGATTATGTTCAAGCACCAGCACCAGTGCCGTGTGGTTCTTCATAGCTCCAGGGTTGCTCCAGCGTAATGCAGTAGTTGGTCATGATGATGACTCTGAGGCATCTAGGAAAGGGCATAATTTGTTTAAAACATTTTAGATTCCCACAGCAAGGGGTTACAGTGGAAAAATTTTGGAGTTTAAATGACACAAGTTACCACTTACAATTTTCTCTTCAGTCCTCTGATAGAAGCTTTAGAGTTAATGAGGTAATATGACTGGGAGATAGATTGTTTCCCTATTTTACAGAGGAGGAAGTCAAGACTTGGAATGGCCAAACATCTTGTGTAAGGAAACCTAGTGAATAAGAGGAAAACCGCTGATTCAAATCCAGGTCCCTTTCATACTAAAACTGTACTTTTTCCTACTATGCTTCAGTAATGTTGGGTGATGTCTGTTGGGAATAGCTTCTCAGGATTAGCCCCTTCCTTATGAAGCCCTAAATTGTCCCAGGACCTTCTTACTCTGTTGTTATTGATTCTAGAGAAGTTCTCCTAAAAAGGTTTTAACCAGATATGCCAATACTGAATAACAGGGATAGAGGATGAAAACTCAAGTCACTTTTACTCCTCCATCAATTTTATTACTCAGTTAAATTGATCCAATGTTCTTCCATGCTCATTGTTTTCACTGAAAATTTTACCAAAATTTAACTTCTATTTAGTTTTAACTTCATCATATTTTATTAACTATAGCTTTTGCCTTCTGAATTGCCCATGATTACTATTATTTCTACCGTATCTAATTCTTCCGTGTCAAATTTTGCAGATCTAAATTTCATCAAAGATTTTGTATCACTCTTTGGTCAGTAACACCTTTTATGTGCTGTTTTAGCCATTGTCAGTGTTCATTTTGTGATACTTCCACTAGCGATATGCATTATGAGCTGGACAAAGCCCATTTATTTACAAGAGTATACAGTTTTGTCAGCACGAACAAAGCAACCAGCTTTATTGCCTATCATCTCTCTGTTACTACATCCCCAACCCCTAAGAGGACAGGGCTTTCAAGGTCCCACAAAATGTTTTCATCCCTCATAAAAGGCACATCATAGAATATTAAAACGGTATGACTCTTCAGCACAAAATGAGGAACTTGTAACGGCAAGGCTTTTATATTATAAACGTGCTTAGCATATTCTAGTGCACTAGAGGCTTCAGAGAGGCCCCAATATTCACATGCACAAACGAGTTCCTTTAAGACGCCAGGCTGACGAGGTGCTACCAAAAACAATGAAAGACTGTACCGAAAGTGCATTCTTGGATATTCTTGTAAACGTGGATCAAGTTCGCGCCTCCGCTCCTAAAATACCGCCGTGCGTGTGTCCCTGCGCTGAGAGAACTCACTACCGATCCTTGTAACCCTGACCTTGTAATGATATGGGGGTAGTTTTGGCTTCTGCCTCTTTCCTCCTCAAAGCAACTGCCTTATTCAGTGACAGCACACTTCCTGTACCAATGAACTGCTACACCACAGCAAACGTGGGACGGGGCCTCCAAGCTGTCAGCGGGGAGCCAGACCTCGTCCGTGAGCACGGCGCGGGGTTAAGTCACAGGCAGCCGCGCGGGCCCAGGCCGTGGAGGAGAGAGGGCAGGCGGAGAGAGGCGCCGGCGAAGGAAGCCACGCTCCGCAGGCCTGGACAAAGCCCCGGCGGCCTCCATGCGTCGCCATGGCAACGCGGGGTCCGCGCCCGCCCGGATTGGCCGGGCCGGCGCGCGCGGGGCCTGCTGGGAGAGCACGTCCCCCGCCGCCGCTCCGCCGGTTTGAACTTGGCGGGC